TTTTTTTTTTTGTTTGTTTGTTTTGGCTCTTCATTTTCTCGGGACAGTTTTTTCTAATCATGTGAAATCTTATTTGTGCCCTTGTTTTGGAGCGCTTTGTTCCTGCTTAGGACCCTCTGTGCTTCTGACTTTCCCTCTGGGCAGCTTCCTAACTCCTTCCCATATGACAGTCAGTTAGTTCACATACTTTGGTTCCATCAGACGTCCTGGTTTGGCATGCTGTGTGCCCTGGAGAATGTCCCCTGAACACTCGAGTTGACCAGACCACTCTGTGAACATCTGTGGGTTCCCATCTTCTCCCAACATTGGGGAGTTTTCAGACATGATTTCTTCAAAGAACTTCTCAATTCCTTTGTGACCTCAGGTTCTGGGGACAAACACAATCACCACGTTAGCCTTCCTGATAGTGAGCCACATAATGTTGGGCTTTGTGTGGCTTGTTTTACATTTTTCAGTTCTTTGTTTCAGGATATTTGATCACACTGTCAAACCCAAGACCGCTTTATTTATTTGTTGGAAAACCCTGTTCCTAGTTTGGTGTGGCTCAGCCCTAGCACACACCTTTGCTCAAAGAGCTTTCTACTTGAATATTGTAGACTGGTTTAAACAAAGCCGACCATAGGTGAGGAGGCAGAGCAAGCAACTATTTAACAGGAAAAAACAACAACAACAACAACAAAAACCATAGAGACTAAGAGGGAGTCAGGAGGACAGAGAAAGAGACACCCGGGAAGTAGAAGGCTGGGACACTCATTAGGAGGAGTTTTGTCTGAGGCAGTGTAGGGGAAAGCAGGCTCTCACCCGAGCATCTGACTCCCGAGTCTTTGTCAGTAAAATCAAAGAATTGACATTTAGTTTAAAACAGCTTTTCCTATCATTTCCCCTGGCTTAGTGGTTTTATTCATCTTTTCTTCAGTTTACAGATTTTTTTTTCTGTCTACTCACTCTGCTATTGGTCCTTTCCAAATATTAATACCAATTGATAAGAAAGAGGCTCATGTGAAAGGAAAAACATCACTACACAACAAATCAATTTTCTCAGTTTCATTTTCTGTGGGAGGTTGTTTTGAACTGCAGCTGACTTTGCTGTTCTGACACTAGAGGGCACTCACATGCAGAAGGACTGCAAAGACAAGGCCTTGTACAAGAGGAGCTGTAGGGATGTAAGAGGGTAAGATGGGGCATGTCAGTGTCTTGGCCAATACCAAGTAAATGCAACTTCTCATGCCTGTGCGCTGTTGTGGGGTAACCCCCACTGAACTCATTTGATTCCGGGGAATTGAGTTTAAAAGCAGAGCCCAGTTTGCCCTTGGCCCCAGCTTCAACCCTCAGCACCACCAAATACAAATTATCCTCTTGGTAGCTTTCAAGGAGGAACACACTGACCCTGTCTCAAAACAAACAAGAAACAAAGAAACAAAACAGAGGAACACTCTGGTTTGCTGAAACATCCCATTATGCAATGCTCTGTAGCACATTTTAACTCTTTCAACTTGTAACCCCACTGACTGCTCCCTGCTACCCTAACTTCTACTACCATCATTTCAGTTTCTTTAGATCCCTTATATAAGTGAATGTATGCATATTTGCTTTTATGTGGTCCTCATAGTTACATAACATATTGTCATTCAGAGTCTTCCATGTGTTTACGAATGACTCTATTTCCTTCATTTTACGACTCCATTTCAGACCACTGTGTATACTATATAGTCTGTGCTTGTCATCCACCCATGAGTTCGTGCTTTGACTTTTTAAAAACATTCAGCAATGGCCAGGGATGCAGCTGTCTCTCTTTTATAATGACTTCATCTCCTCTTGAACAAACCCAGTAGCGTTTCTCACACTTGTTGAGGAGCCACTATGTTTTCCAATATCCACTCTAATTCACACTCTCAGTCACGCTGTGCAAGGTTTCCTTCACTCCATGTCAGTGGCAACATTTATCTTTCATCTTTCTGATAACAGCCATTGCAGGGTCAGGAGCTGGATAGAGAGGCTCCATGGTTATGAGCACCTGCTGCTCTTGCAGAAGACTCAGGCTCCATACATGAACATAAAATAAAATTAGTCTTAAAAAAGTCATGGTGCTGAAGGGATAGCTCAGCAGTGGACAGAAACGGCTGCTCCTCCAGAGGACCCTGGTTCAATTCCCAGCACCCACATGAGGACTCTCAGCCTTCTGTAACTCCAGTTTCAGACAACCTGTTACCCTCTTTATCTCTACAGGGCACCAGGAACTCACATGGTGTACATACATGCATGCAGGCAAAACAACCATACTAATAAAATAATCATGATGGAAGCAATGAATTACACAGTCATTGTGACCAGAGCAAATCATATTTCACTGTGCTTCTTGCATCTCCATAATTGGCGATTTTAACATTTTTGCCTAATGCCTCTCTTGCATCTGCATCTCTTGAGTCTGCTGTGAATGTCCCCCCCCCCCCAACCTCTATCCAGCCTTTGACTCCTGAAGAGATCAGGGCTTCTGGGGCTTCTCTTTCAGCACCCCAGCTGGGGGATCTGAAATGTATCTCTTTAGTCTGTTTTCAGTTTCCCGTATCTTTAGTGTGAGATGTAACTTCATGCTTCCCTGTGTAGAGATCTTTTGACAGTTTCTGGTTGTAGGGTCAGCTCACAGTTTCTGGTTGTAGGGTCAGCTCTGGAAGTAGATGGGGCATTCTAAGGGGCTCTGGAGGTCTACCCAAACCCCTCCTCTCCTGCCTCAGTAGCCAGACTTAGAGCAAGCATAATTTGGCAGTATGTGGAGTTAGCAAGGTCAGACTTCATGTTTGTGGCACTGACAGTTAAACCGGGGTCTTAGGAATTCTGTAGTTGAGCAAGCATAATGCAGCACCCATAACCTCTCCCCAGCCCACAGACTGCTGAGCCGTCTCAGTTCCTCATTCCTTCCCAGCTCCTCCTGTCCAGCACCTTCCATAACAGGCCTTGTCCTGAGCCAGCATCCCTGTCTGGGGACAGACAGAAGGGGACAGAAGTCTCATCTCACACCAAAGTGCAAAATGACAATGCCCCTGAGATTATTAAAACCCAGGAGTCCTACAGTGCAGTCACATTTAGAGAAGCTGTGGGCTAGCCTGGGACACTGATCATCTCAGATCAAGACCCCAGCTATCCACACTGTCTAAGGTTCATACTTCTACCTTCAGGAACACAGCTGAGACACAGTCCTTAAAAACCAAGGCAGACAACAGAGATCACCACTTTCCATAACTTAAGTAAAGCCTACTGAACTCCTGAAGCCTTAGGACTAATTTACCAGGTAGTTCCTTCTTCTCTAATTATAGCACTGACTTTGGGGAAATTGCCTCAGAAAGGAACTGTGGGTTCAAGGTGTCTAGTCAACTATTTTTTTGCTGGGGAAGAGTATGATATTCCGATGTTCTTACTCTGCCACAATTGCAGGTTGGTAAGATCCCACAGAAAGAGGGACCAGGAGAGGAACAGAGTAAAACAACGCAAGGTTAGACCACTCTTTCTCTCCTGGGTTGGCCCTGTCATTTCCCTTGTCAAAGCAAAGTTCTCATTTTATATATTACAAATCCCACAGGGACTCATTTCTTTCTGGTCTAGAGTACAGTTCCTCCCCTTCCGGGACCCATGTTTTCTTACCATGCACAAGGTCAGGTCTCTAAGAGGGTGGGAACCCTCAAGAGACTCTGTAGATTCACACAAGCCTGGCATTCATACCCCATCATGACCCTCCTCTTCCTGCCTCAATAACCAGCCTCAGAACAGACATAATGGGTGCTCTCCCAGCAACCTCAAGTCCTCCCTCGCTCTCACAGAGAGCAAGGCATTTGCCCTCACCACAGCTCTGGTGTCTCCAAGTCTTCAGCAGTCAGTGCTTTGATAGAAGAAGTCTGAAGATGTCCAGGATTCAAGATTCCTACAAGGAAAGCAGGTTGGTTTTACTTGAGTGAGATGGGTTGTGCTAGCAACTCCCCCACCCCACATCCACCCACAAACAGTAGACAGGACCTGACATTGGGTGGGGAAATAAGGAGAAAGACGATGAGGGGCAGGGAGGTTGAGGATGCTGCAATGGACCTGGTTTACTTAGTCTGTGTTTTGGAAGTTAAGTACCTTGAATCTCAGAGTAATGTAAGCTTCCAGACTGAGTGGCAGTCAGATCTGGGTGGCCAGAAATGGCCAATATATAGCCGATGTGTGAATGCTTGATGACGTGAAGTGGACTAGTTCCATGAATACTAGGGTGTCGGCACTCTTGGACTTTGAGCGTTTAGTCACTCCAGGAAGTGTTATGAGGAACTTCCATGCTCTATGCAATTCTGGTTGAAATGGACAAAAACAAGAACAAAAAGGACAATAAAGAAACAGAAGTGAAACTACATGGTAAAACATGGGGCAGGCATGTAAGCACATGTAAGAAGGGCGAACAGAGGCAGAGGTTAAGGGCAATTTGTCATATATAGTAAATACCTGCATGAAAGAAATTGATTTAATTGAAAAAGAAATGAAGTTCTTGTAGTCTCTTAGCAGGAGCTCCCGCCTTCCATCTCTGCCAGCCTTCCACGAGCAGCCTCAGTCCTGGTGCTTCCTGAGCAGGTGCTGGAGGGACAGGAGGAGGGAAAGAAGTGACATCCTGAGGAGAAGGACAGGCATGCAGAGGGCTGCTGCAGCAGTGCAGGCAAAGAGCATCCCCCTTGTCCCTGCAAGGAAAGGCTCCAGTGGCCTGAAGGAGTCTCAAGCAATGCACCAATGCATGCTTTTCTAGTTCTTTGCTTCTGTGAGTAATCTCAGGAAAACTCAAGCTCTTGTTTTGTTTTTAGTTTTGGTGGGGTTTGTTTTAGTGCACACACACATATTTTGCATAAACTGGGCTTTCCTGTGACATTTTCCTAAACACAAAGGACATGCTTTGGTCATACTCATCTCTTTAGCTCTCTCTCTTCCAGTGCCAACAGAGACCTCAGATTTGGATACACAGGGGACAAAATGTCCATCTCCCTGGGGACTCTGTAGGGGTGCATTGTTTGGCCTGTATAGCTCCACCCTAGGCCTGCTCCTGCCTCAGCTGCCTGCTGCTGGGAGGGAATGCAGCCCATACTGTCACAGTCAGGGACAGGTAGGCTGCTGCCTGGGTATGAAAAGAGTGAGTATGCTCCAGTCACTGCTATGGCAGAGGGAGATAGTGTCACCGACTCCTTACTTGATGACTTACTCATAATTATACGTCAATCTGTTTCCCATCTCCAAGAGAATTTGAGCAAGGAACTTGTATGTGGAATTAAAGAAATAAAATCCACAGTGTTGGGTGTTGAAGGAGAAGAAGTCTCCAGAAGCCCTGATTTGTCAAGAGTCAGACACTGACGCAGGCCCAAGGCTTGAGAAGGACACAGCTCCATTCTGGCTCTGCCAGGTAATGCAAGTCCAGGCAAAAGGCTGAGGGTTGCTTCCTTCCACTTCCCCATCTTTCCAAGGTTTCGTTTCTTAGGAAAAGAAAGCACAGTTCTCAGGCCTCCTGTCTCCACCCTTCTAATATCAAGAAGCAAGGGCTACTTCCTGTTGGGCAATAGTCTTCCTTTCCAGTCAGTGTGATGTCCCTGAGCTCTGGCTTGAGACTGAAGAAACTGTATCAGAAGAGCCACTCACTGAGTCCCTGGCAGAGCAAGGGGGGAGACTGTTTGGATGATCACTGACTGTGTTCATAGGTTTCTTTTGTGGTGAGGTGGCCTCATGCAGCCCTGGCTGTCCTTGGACTCGCTGTGCTGCCTGCCTGGACATGGAACTCCTAATCCTTCTGCCACCCTCCCCCACAAGGTCCTGGGATCATAAGTGTGAGCCTCCAGGCCTGCTGGTTTTTTATCTCAATTCTTGTTCTTGCTCTCTCTTTATTGTTAATGCTTTCTGTTAGTTAATGCTCAAAATAAAGGAATGCTTCTGCAGTTTTCACACATTTACAGCTTTGTCCCTTGCCCCATTTTTTCTCCCTTATGTCCGTCCCCTCCCCCACTAGTCTCTTCAGTAACTTCCTTCTCCTTCCAATAGATACCTGTGATTCTACTTTTCCTGTAAAAGACAGCTGCAATGGTTTCTTTTTCCTCTTTTTATTAGTCTCTTCTTCCTCATCAGCTCATCCTCGTTTCTCTGTCTCTCTCTCTCTCTCTCTGTGTGTGTGTGATCTGTGTCTCTTTCTGTCTGTGTTTGTACATTTCATGTTAAGCACACATCCTATCACTGTACTTTACAGCTCCATCTCTCCAGGAATTTTTATCTTTGCCACCACACACAGTTTAATTGAATGTCTACATTTTCTAGTCTTGATTTACTACATTTTACATATTTCAGCTCCCTATTTTTTTCAGCTTCATCATTTTACAATGGAATCTGCAAGGAGTATGCAAATCACTTCCTTCTCTGATTAGCGATGGAGTCCTGACCTAGATTTATCTAATAAGTCTGGTGTCATTCTCTAAACACACACACACACACACACACACACACACACACACACACACACACACGAGAGAGAGAGAGAGACAGAGAGAGAGAGAGACAGACAGACAGACAGAGACAGAGGTAGAGAGACACAGACATGAGACAGAAGAGAGAGATCTGGTTCTTTCCTATGACTTTCAGGAATTTGTTGGTGTGCCTCCCCTGAAATAGTCTCTGTGTGCCTTCTGTCCCTTTCGTAATGTTTTCACAATGGAGTATTATTCATCTTTCATCTTGGTTTATGTCCCCAATGTAGCATGCGTTCTAATAGGTCTTAATAAGAAAAGCCTGAAGTCAGATGTAGGGGAAAATGCTGAAAGACCAGAGAAATAAAAGAGCAACACCCAGCCCCATCTTACCTCTTCAACGCCCCAGCTGAGAAAGGGTGACTTCCTTTTTCCTCCGGCCAATATTCCTCTTCCTGCATATCACTTCCTGTCACCTCCTTGGGTAGCTAGTTGCTGGCTCCACCCTCTGACCCTCAGGCATGCTTTATTTGTTAGAGTCCAATCAGGACATTATCACATCCCAGAACGTAGGTTTGTAGTCACTGAGAACATTCTCTCTGGTCTCCAGCAGCCAGTGAGACAAGTGCTGACGCTAAGTGGCTTCAGGGTATAAAGTGACTAAGATGTCTCTCAGTGTGAGTGCCAGCCTAGTGAGTGTCTTCAGGAGCCGTAGCAGGCCACACAGGCTTTGTCACCTTCACCGTCGGTATCTAGCTATGTGTGCAAATCTCTTGTCCTTGTGTTTTCTTGGTTTCTGGTACCTTGCGTTTCTGGTACCACAGGCCAGTGAGTCAGTGACTCATGGAGGAATTTCACATTCCCTTAGAACAGCAATACTCAAGCTCTGGTTCTCAACCCCTTTGGGAGCTGGAGGACCCTTTCAAAGAGGTGGCCTCCGATCATCAGAAAACACAGATGTTTAGATTATGACTCAGCAGTAGCAAAACTACACACATAACATAGCAATGAATATAATTTTCCGGTTGGGGGTCACCACAACATGAGGAACAGTATTAAAGGGTCATAGTGTAAAGAAGATTGAGAGCCACCGAATTAGACAGTTGTGTCTTTACACGCACTACCCTGATAACTTATGATAGTGGTCTTTATTCTCAATGCCTGTCTGTCTGTCTGTCTCTGTCTCTGTCTGACTCTGTCTCCTGTCCACCACCACCACCCCCTTGCCCTGTGCTTTAAAAATTCTTGCTTCCTAGCACTCAGGAGGCAGAGGCAGGCTGATCTCTGTTTTTCAGGCCTGTCTAGTCTACAGGGTAGCCAAGCCTACATTGAGAAACTCTGTATCAAAAACCAAACCAAACCAAAGTTCTTTCTTATTGTTTGCCCTAACAGGCTTGCAGTTCACAGCAATTCCCCTTCCTCGGTTTCAGAGTGCTGGGATTGCAGAATGAGGCATTGGACAGGACACAGCCTCAGCACTCATTCTCTAGTTCTGGGAAAGAACTTTCTGAATCATGTCAGGGCTGCATCTTCCTTGGCTTGTACATCCTGGTGAATGCTTCTCACATCTGTGGCCAAGCATTAAGAGCTTGTTTTGTGGGTTGGAGAGATGACTGAGCACTGAAGAGCACTTTCTCCTCTTCCACAGGACCTGGGTTCAATTCTAAGCACCCACATGGCAGCTCACAGCTGTCTGTAACTTCGGTTCCAGGGGATCTGATGCCCTCACACAGACATACAAGCAGGCAAAACACCAATGTACATAAAATAAAGATAAATAAATCATTGAAATTTTTAATTTAAAAAATAAAGAACTAGTTTGTTGTTTCATGGGTTTGTTTTGTTCTTGTTCTTTCTTTTTTAAAACAGGGTTTCTATGTGCAGCCCTGGCTGTCCTAGAACTCACCATTATAGACTAGCCTGGTCTCAAACTCACAGAGAGCTGTCTCCTTCTGCCTCCCAAATGCTAGGATTAAAGGCAAGAGCCTCTATGGCAGGCAAAGATCATTTTCAATCCCTAAAAAAGTTACTGGTTTTGAGAAACAATTAAAACAAATGTACCTGTGAAGATTGGTCTTTTAAAGTAGGGGGATTCAGGAACATAGGGGTTGAGAAAGAATCCAAAGACCTCACCTGTGTTCAGAGCTCACTTTAATACTGTACCCCATCCCAAGCTGCAAAGGAATGCCATAATGTCACCATGGTGAGGAAGACTAAAAGATAAAATATTCATGAAGAAAAATGAGCAACACCTCTCCCATGAGTAGGCTCTGTGCCCGCCTTGTGATTACAATTGAAGTGAGGGGTTTAGTGCCCTGCATGTGTATGCTGTCTATGGGACATTTGGATGATCTCACAGCAGCAACTCATAATAGGAATCACGTGTGTCTGGGGAGCAGCTTGGGAACTGCTCCTTTGTGAAAGACTCCATCAGGGACCTGAGGCTGGGGACTAATCTGCTCCATGGCAGCTCTGACCCAATTCCCATGACATGCCACAAGTTGTACTGCCTTACAGATTGATGGCTAATCTGTTTTGGAGAGATTCTCTCCATCCTTATAGACAGAAGCCAAAAGATGTCAAAGAGTGGAGACCAGTGTGGCTGTGGAGGGAGCGGTCAGTCACTGTGGCAGTGACAGAAACTCATAGTGATGCCACAGTATTAATGGCCACACTGGAGCTGCCATTGGTGGCACATGCCTTTAAACCCAGCACTCAGGAGGCAGAGGCAGGCAGATCTCTTGAGTTTGAGGCCAGCCTCATCTACAGATTGAGTTCCAGGCAGGCTCCAAAGCAATACAGAGAAACCCTGTCTTGAAAGACCAACCAACCAACCAAACAAACAAACAAAAAAAGCTACACCAGTAAGTGGAGGTCTCAGGGTCATGGAGGCTACTAGAAAGGGCAAGTAGACAAGGAGATGCCTGACTGATTCTCTGGTTGGCGCTAGCACTTTTGTCTTTTCATCTTGTTTACTTTTTCCATTTCCTTACTGAAAAACACTTCTTGAGCAACTCAGAATTATTGGACATGTAAGGTAACTCCCCAACACGCCTGGAGTGGAGGCTCTCTCCTTCAGTCCCAGCAGTCTGGGGAACTGAGGTATGGGATTGCTGCATATCGGAGGTCATTCTGGGCTACATAGTGAGTCAAAGTCTGAAAATGTTTTAAAGTACCCCCTTCCAGTTCCGTGAAATGCCATTTCTGGACATAACAAGGCTGCTGTACTCATGGGCCCAGAGCAACTGTGAGCATCTCCCTAAGACCTGCTTAAGGTCAAGCCAGTCACTTCAGCGTGGATGGGGAGGGAATTGTGAGCCTCCATCCTAGAGAAGGTATTGGCTACTGATGGCTTCTGGAGGCAGTGTCGTAGGGTTTCTATTGCTGTGATGAAACACTATGACTGTTGTTCTTTTATTACAGTTGTAGGAATAAGGCTGGGGAGGGTGGGGGTGGTCCCATGTGGGGGTCCCAAGTGAGTGAGTGGGGTGTCCCGAGGTAAGGGACCATGGGGAAGAGCTTAGCAAGTTCCATAGCAGGTGAGGGTGACTGAGGCGGAGGGAATAACATGCCAGGCAGATAGAGCTTAAATGACTTTTAAAGGGGCCCTTTACACCTACCTGCATGTACTCATGTACTCATGGAAGCCTGGGCTAACCAGAGTACCGCCTGAGTGCATTCTGCCAGGTGAAAGGGGCAGGCCAGCATAATGCCTGAATCCTTACAATGACCAAAGCAAACTGGGGAGGAATGGGTTTGTTTGACTTACACTTCCACATTGTAATCTGTAATTGAAAGAAATTAGGACAGGAATTCAAACAGGGCAGGAACCTGGAGGCAGGAGCTGGTGCAGAGTCCATGGAGGAGTGCTGCTTCCTGGCTGGCTCCCCATGGCTGCTAAGTCTGCTTTGTTGTGGAACCCAGGCCCTCCAGGCCCTCTACCATCAATCACAAATGAAGAAAATGCACCACAAGGAAAGCGGACAGCCAATCTTGAGGAGACATTTTCTTAATTAAGGTTCCCTCCTCTCAGATGACTAGCTGTGATGTCAGGTTGACATAAAACTGTCCAGCACAAGGGACAATCATTTTTGATCATAGATCAAGCTTGCCCATGCTTAAGCAGGCAGCACTTATTGGTCTCAGTGGATTATGTTTTAAAGAGATGAGGGGAAGATGGGAAGGACACAGCTCAAGAGCAGTTTGAGTTTGATATGCTCAAGATGCATTGTTCAATGTATGAAATTGTCAAGAAATATAAAAATCATTTTTTTAAAAAGATACTAGAATCACAACAACAGAAATCGTCATCTCTTTTCATCTTCTTGCCCTGATCCACTCCATAGAGGATAATAACAGTTTGCTGTATGTGTAAATTAGTGCAATCATGAAACAAAACTGTGTGAAGATTACTAAAAACAAAACAAAACACCTACCACAGGATGAGTCTGCACTAACCCTGTGCCAAAGCCTGAAGGGATCCAAGTCAGTAGATGACAGGAACACCGGCACATCCCTGTCACCTGGAGAATTGTTCACAATAGACCAGATGTGGAAATAGGACAGATGCCCATCAACAGTGGAATGGATAAAGGAACTGTGACCTTGTTTACAATGAGGTTTGATGTAACCACATGAAAATGAAGCAACACCATCTTTCCGAAAAGAGAGGCTGTACCTTGAGATCCTTATGTTGAGTGAAATAAGCCAGTCCTAGAATGAGAAATATGGGTGATTTTCTCTCAGGAAGAATCCAGATTTATTTGGAAGGAAGACCAGGACTGAAGGGAAAGGAGGGAAAGAGAATAAGAAGAGGAGGGGAAAGGATGTGGGATGGGGGAATGCCAAGGAAGGGGCAAAGGGGGACTGGGGCGAGAGAGGAAATATAAATGAGAAAGGTGACTGCTACCGAATGCTCCTCTCCGAGATTCCCATGTTTCCAGGAGGAGAAAGAATGAGATTGTCTCTCTTGCATCTGCAGTTTTTTAGTTGCTGTTAACTCAAACAAAACAGCACATATTGGGATGGCATATGCAAACACTGTCCAGTAACTTTGGGCAAGACAGGATCTGCTTACATCTCCTAGATTCTGTACTCAGCAACTGCCACTCTTCATGGAAGACACAATTGTCACCCATGCCATTATCTCACAGTAACCCATGGGGAAATGATGGGAAACGAATGCTTCTGTCTTGCTTTGCTCTGTGGTCAAGTTGTCTGAAGGGCTGGAACCCTCCCTTGCCCTGGGCTTTAAGACTTCATGAAGTGAAATATTAACCCACACCCTCTTCCTCTGCCAACAGCCTAAGCTCAGGCTGTGGCAGGAAGTCAGTAGGACACAGAGGACATGCTGCACTACCAGCCCCCTCCCTGCTCATAGGCACCAAGGACCTGCTGTAACTAGGCTGTGACCTGGAAGATGCTCTGTCTGCCATGTGGGAAACTGCAGAGTGGGAAGGGGCTGTGGAACATCAGCCCAAATGGGCAGCAGATGGAGTGTGCCTATGATGACAACTCAGCCAAAATGCATCTGGATACAGAGACAAATAAAGTAAAAAACAACTGTGGCTCATTCTGTTGTATCAGAGAGAATAAAAATGGGTCTTCTTTTATGGTTCTCTACTTGTTAATTTTTCTGTAGTGCAGTCCTATAGAATTTTTTGGTGACAATTACATTTTTAAATTTCTTAGTGTATATAATGCATTTTTCTGAACATCTCCTGCTATTTAACTCACTTGAGTAAACATTAGGCTTTAAATAAAGGTTTTAGTACCGAAGAGGAATAATCTTAGTTGATACAAGATACTATAAGTGTATTCCTTCTTCTCAACGTAAATCAGGCAATTACTGTCAACATGGAGCTGCATGGCACTCATTGTGCTGTGGGCAGAGAGGCACAGAGGATGACATGGACTTTGGAGTCCGGCAGCCTTGGCTTTGGACCCTGGAGTTGGAATTTTCCGTAGGATGCTTGTCATTTAAAGTCAAAACTTTCTCAACTCTGACCTAGAGCTAATGGGGCCCAAAATCATTGGACAGTTTCTCACAAAGAAGATTGTCCACTGTGAGCACATTGTTGAGGCTTTTCTTTGTTTATCTATTTATTGAAAAAGCTGTGGAAAACAGAAGATGGCGGCTGGTGAAGCACTGATAGGCATGGGAGGAGATGGCAGCAGCAGCTGGGAGCTGAGCAGATTCGGAGTTGCTGGTGTTGATCTGGCCTCATTAGAGGCTTTTCTTTTGCAAACCTGACACACCAGCAATGCCCATTTCTCATAATAAACTCTAGGGCTGTCTATTGTCTAACAACGTGACTGAAAGGGAAGAGGGTTCAGGGAGAAAAGTCAACGGGAAAGGGGTGGGGATGAATCAGCTAACAACGGAGGCAAGATGGCTGAAGAAATGCCTACTGCTTGGGATGGAGCCCGAGTGGGGAGATGTGGGAGCTTTCTTTACACACAAGTAGAGGTGGCTGGGTAATATCCAGGGTGAGAGGAAGCTATGCCCTGGGTAAATGGCAGAAGCAGTTGAGACGTCTGGGCTCCACTGTGGATCACCGAGTAAAGTCAGGACAAATGACCTTGCTCCAAATCCCAAAGAAAGTCTTCCAACTAGCAACTAGCAAATTGTATTCTAAATGTTAAGTTCCCTTCTTGACTCTAACCTGCTAGCCATCTGATGCTTGACCCATTCCTCCGCGGTAAACCTCTTCAAACAGCCATCTTCCACATGCCAGGAATCAGGATTTTTAATGAACACAGCACAGCAGAATCTCTCCACTCTGAGCGCACAGACATATGAACACACAGTTCCCTGTCTGTGGACTTGAATAAATTTGCATGTGTACTTTATCTTCTCCTGCTCCTCACAGAAGTGAGTGACAGGCAGCCGTTGGATATACTTCTCTATTTCACTCTCTAGATGCACCAGATCATTCTCATTGGCTTTAAAACCAATTATTTGCTTTTTCTCTTCATCCAAACCAATAAACAGATATCCTCCGTCAGTGTTGGCAAATGCAGAGACAATTCGAGGGAGAGCGTCTTTAACTCGTTGTACCACCTTATCTGTTCCAAATGACTTATATTCAACATTTTTGGATTCACTAAAGGAGAATTTTGCCATTTCTGTGAGTATAGTCTGGTCAAAAAAAGCAGCAGCCAGCTCTTGCACATGGAGTTCTTCTTGAACATAGAGAGCTTCTTGCCCGAGTTCTTCTAAAACATCTTCACCAGGCATTTTGTCAAGCAACCTCTTTATTGGCGATCTTAGTCCAGGGTTGGCTTTGTCTTTGAAGAATTGCAGAGCAGTATGCAAGTCCATTTGAGCACAGGAGGTCCCATTTCTTATGTACAAATTGGTTGCAATGGTGGCAAGCTGCAAACCAGAGATATCCGGACTCCACGATTTCACAGAGATGAAAAAGTAGCCTCTTTCCTGCTTGAAATCTAGGTATCTCTGAACAAGTGGCGAAATAGCCCTCAAAGAGGTATCCAAATCTTTCCATAGTCCATAACTGTTGAAATTATAGTCCCCATTTTCAATAAGAGCCTTTACCATGCCCCCTCTAGAATTCAGCAGAGCACACACAGCTCTTAAAATCCTTGTATTCTGTTTCTTAGGAGAAACCTTCGTTTCCTCCTTACTTTTTACCCCAAGAGTGATTTTTCCTAGGTTTAGAACCACCAGCTCAGGGGTGCTTTCAGGATCTATGGTGATGTCCATTTGCTCAGCAGCCATTCTGTCCCCAAACTGAAATTCTTCCTGTAAGACAGACAGCCGTTAGAATAAGGTTGAATAGGACAGAGGAAATTCTGCACTGAGAAGCTAACAGCAAAATTGTTTGCTGGATGTTTCATGGTATGGAGCAGTGTGCAGTTGCGGGGTGGTGGTGGTGGTGGTGGTGGTGGAAATAGGTTATCTGGGAATAGATTTTTAGACCATGATAACGTATATATGTATTGATTTCTCAGGTATTTTGTTGTGCATCATTATGATCCTTCTGTATTTTAACCTCATTTTATCAGTGATTTATCTCCTTCCTAAAATTCAATATAATATAACTTGAATTCTGTGCCTCTTCTTTCACTAAACTGCAAGGGCAATTTTCCTATGTTTTCAGGGCTTTTTAAGAAGAAGAGGTTTATTATGAAACCACCTATACTTTTTTTTTTTTAATAATCTCAGATGTTCATTCATCAGTTGTCTACTTTCATAGAGAGTCTCTTAGCAAAATTGCCCTTGGGGACCTAGAGTAAAACAACAGAGCAGATGAATTATCTTCTTTCTGACACTAAATTTCAGTCACAAACTTTGACCATTGATCTGAAGTGTACAGACTGGGTTGTGGTCCAGAGAGGTGGGGTTCTTATAGTTAAAACAGAATCACTAGCCTCCAGTGTTTCCTACCTTTCAAAATTCATGTTGTGTTCCTACTCTTGTGGTGATGATGCCTATGGGAAGTTGCTAGGTCAAGAAGGTAGAATCATCTAATGGTCCTAAGATTCTGATAAATGTACTGGAGATAGCTAAGCTCACCAACACTACATCATGTCACTGTGAGACACTGGCAGTCTTCAAAGAAAACAAGATTGCCTCTAGATCCTGACCATGATGGCATCTTCATTTTTTACTTCTGCCCTCTACACTGCAAGAACAAAATGTTTATTATTTATAACCCACCAAGCCTATGTCACTTTGTCATATCAGGTGGAATGACACAGGCAGCCGCCTCAGTCTCACCTGCTGGTGTTTTCCTTTTAAGAACCATCAGGGTACATTTTCCCTACAGACAGAGAACTAAAAAGAATGTGACATTTTTTGAACTATTTTTGTTGTTGCTATTGGCTTAAGATCTTATTCATTTTTATTGTATACATATGGGTGTTTTGCATACATGTGTATCTGTTACTGCGCGTGTGGTGTTCACAGAAGACAGATTCAGATCGTCTGAGACAGGATGTTAGCCTGCAGGTGGGTGCTGGGAACAGATCCCCCATCCTCTGCAAGAGCAGCCAGCCAGTGCTCTTAACCACTCAGCCATCTTTCTAGCCTGAGATCTCCCAGCTTTGAATGTGGCTTCATCTTGATTGGGTATACATATTGTTGCCATCAACCTCTGACTTTTAATTCAGTGGGTTTCTGGATTTTTAACATTTCTGTGGAAGAAAGAGAACTCAGGAGGGCTGTCTTTCTTTCTTCCTGCCTAGTGTGGGCTCTAACTCCTAAGCAATCCTCCTGCCTTAGTCTCCTGAATAACTGTGACCAGAGAAACATTCTTCTCCCTAGCACTGAAGTTAATATTCTGGTATTTGTTTTAATTTGCATCTATAAGTTCTTCCCCCTATTGTTATGGGTGGATGATTGTGTCATATGTAACAGCATTATAAAACCACACTTGAGGATGGGGGAGGGCTCAGTGAAAGGACACTAGCCTGATAAGTACTGCACACTTGGTTAATCCCCAATGTATAATAAAGTAAAATATTATACAGAGTCAACATTTTATGAACATGAACTCATCATGGTTTGACATCCTAACAAAAACTGAAAGAGAAAATTTGGAATCTTGCTTCCCATGGGATCGCATATTATTCAAGTCAGTTTTGTATAATATCATTAACTCTTTTTAAAACTACTCTATCCTGCAGCATAATACCATATGTAGTATCCATGTGTTTGTTAATAAAGGAGTGCCTTGTTACTGTAACTACACTAGTATCATGGTTCAGAGTGACTGAGGCTTGGGCATGCTAGTCACATCTGATTTTTCACTAAGCCCAAGAGTTCCCTCATGGAGTCCCTATACACGGTCTAGTTCAGGCATCTATAAAGACCTGCTAGAATGGAGTGGGAAGCCAGAACAGGTAGACAGAATGGAGCCAGACTCCAGAAAGTTTAGAGTGGAACTCTGAAGGAGCAAACTCATGTGATGAAGGAGTTGAAATTTCTGGAAATAAAGATTTAGGCTAAACCATGATGCCACACCGGGCCTTCTGCCTCAGGTGTGTAAACTAGCTAAGCATCATCTGAGCTCATACATCTGTGTGCACGGAGAGAGATGCTTCTGACGTTAGGCTAACTGTCCAAGTGATGAGACAGCTGAGGAACTAGCAAATCCTTCCCTGGAGGATGGCATCAGTCTTTATCGGATTTATCTCAGGAAAGTCTACAGGGCTCCAGGCTCCATCTAATGCCTTTAGGAGAACACTCTGTGACTGCAAACCTAGAACACACCATGTACAGCATCCCTCAGGGTTGCCTAGGAACTCAAAGGTGCCTTCTTGACAGAACTTCATTCAAAGAGGCCATGGGGGGTGGGGATGGGCGAGAGAAAGCTTTTGAACCTGACCAAGACATTTCAGAGGAAGTGAGGCTGAGGCCACCAAAGTCCTGACTCCTGGCCAGGGAACACAAATGGGGCGAGGCAGACACAGCCATCTGTGTTGAGTTCAAAGCTCCACAACAGTCTCAGTGTGACGATGCTGTGCATATTGTGTTGTGCTGATCTTTCTTCTCCTCATTATGGTGAGTTCATGTTGCCTGGCTCCTATTTCCTCCTTGGGAGGGCTACCCCAAACTTTGGACCATTTTCCCTGAGGGCCTGCCAAAAGATAGCTTCACCCTCACAGCAAGGGAAGTGGGGAACTGGGTAGGGGAGTGGGGAAGATGTGGTTGCCTATCATCTCAGCACTTGCAAAGCTGAGTTTGAAGACAACCTGTGCTATATTTTAGTAAGATTCTGTCTGTTACAGTCTGCTTGCAGGAGGTAGGTATTGGGGTGGCGATATAGGAAGGGGAGGAGACCAACACACCAGAGAAAAGAAAACCGAAAGTATAAGAAGGCCAGGGGAAAACATAGTTTCGTTTCTTCCCAGTTAGACGCTTGGAAGTCCCACCCTGTTCTATGCACTGCTGAGCAGTACCTGTTCCTCATTTCCTCCCAGCCCCTCCTTTCAGCACCCCTGAATCAGACCCTGCCTGAAGCCAACACACATCTGGTTCACTTGCCAATATCTAAAGGAGACAGGAACCACAACTGGGTCCCAAAATCCTGAAGGAGAATGTTCATGTCCTTGGTAAATTTGGAACGCAGGGGGAATTGTAGTTATATCATCTTATAGAGAATCTTTTGAGTTTGTATGGGACCAGGGCTATATCACCTCAACTTTTGTGACTATGAAAATTTTCTATGATTTAAACCCTCTCCTCTGGGCATCTATCTGGAAAACAGTCCTTAACTACTAAGCTGGACTCTGGAGCCCACCATTTCTAGTGCCTGAATGAAACTCCTCCCACAAGATTTGCACTGGTTTAAACACTAGTTGTTTCTTTTAAAATTCTTCAGAGTGTACATTGGAGAAAATTCTCTCTGAGCTGAACTCAGGACTTTGGCTGCTGATGTCTTTGGCAGGAAATGAATGGCATTCAGACCCATGCCCCTAGTTCTGGAATCAGTGCAGGTTGAAAGAAAGGCACAGAGTTGGGGGGTAGGGCATAGTAGTGAAAGAAGCTGTTTCTTGGGAAAGAAATAACCCTGGACCATTCCCTGCTAGGATGATGCTTTGCCTCCCGCTTGGGAGCTTAATGCCCTCACTCTAGATAAAGACCCTTCAGCGCTTTCAGGTTCTTAGATCTTTAGTTCTGGGATGCAGTTCCTCCCTGCCTCATGACAAATTTCCCCTAACTCCCCACAGAGTTGGGTCTCCAGGAAGATAGAGCTCCCTCAGAAGGGCTTGGCATACACAGACCTGACCTGTGCATAATCTTCTCCCTGCCCTACTGGCCCCACCTTGACCCTCAGTACCCAGACTTCCTCTATCAGGGATCTGTAAGTACCCCGACTCAAGCAGAATGAGGGCCTTCACTCTCATCCCATACTCCCAAAGCTTCCAAGCCCTCAGCATCTGTGAAGAGGCTATGAAAGTGCCAAGGCTCCCCAGAAAGGAGACAAAGCCACCAGGTTCCTCTCTAGGTCCATGGGTTGCACTGGAAGCCCCCCACCTCATCCCAGGTCCAGCAGAGTGAATTCTGGGTCAGCATGGAGAAAAAAGAGGGCTAAAGATGTTGAGATGGAGGATGCTGCCAGGAAGTATGGCTCACTTACCTAAGAGCTGTTCCAATGAAACTCAGCCAGGGGCTTGAAGCCTACTGTGCTGTAGACACCTGCTGGACGAAACAGCAAAGTTCAAGCTTGGGGACAGACTCCTGCAGCAGGGGCTTGGTCTCTGTCACCAGATATCCTCAGCAACTAGATTTGAGAGTGCCAAGCTACAGTGCTCGTGGTCACTCTAACCTTTCCTCTTTGTGTACCTTTGCGGTGTGGACAGATTCCTCCACTCTCAGTACTGATTTCAGTCCTGGAGAACCCGTGTTTCATTGGTCAGCGTCAATCCAGGAAGTGTGAGGACTCTCTAAGCTCTTTGATCCCTTTCTGTGCTTGTCATTCAGCCTGACAAAAATTGAGGAACTGGGCTTCTAGACTTGGGACCTTGGCCTTCATAACTTTATCCAAATGCACAGGGTAAAGCTGTGTCTGCACCCAGTCAGAGCAGATGACATTAGGGACAGACAAGAACACCTGTCACAACTTACAAGGAAAGGAACACAGGGAGGGAGAGGGAGCCAGGGGAGACAGAGTGGGCTGATGACTCATGAGGTGCAAGATGCATCTCCTAGCTCTTTGGGAAGATGGGTTTCTTGGGGACACTCCAAAGGCTGCCCTAGGCAGACAAGTTTCATCTACCACTTTTTTGTGCCCTCTCTTAGGATAATTATGGTAACTCAAGCTTCTCTGACTCACTGCTTTTTAACAGCCACAAAGTGTGAGGAGAAAGATCAGGCTGTAGAGTTGAGAGAAGGGGTGAGAAGTAAGAAAACAGAGGCAGTGAGGAGGTAGGCAGGAAGTTAGGCAAAGGTGAGAGGCCAGGGATGGCCAGGGAGCAAGAGGCAGGACCTCAGAATCCCCAGCTGTGGGTGCTTCTCCATCAATCAACCTCAGGCTGGTAAATGTGGCAGCATCAGCATCTGGCCTGTGATCTCTTGTGCATGGGCTTTCTCTCTCTCTCTCTCTCTCTCTCTCTCTCTCTCTCTCTCTCTCTCTCTCTCTCTCCTCCCCTCTCTCTCGGAGGAAGGATCAGGTCAGAAGGACAGAGAAGGACTGTGGTGGTTTGTTATTGTTCTAAGTTGTTCCCCAATAAAACACCCATTTGTCATTTATCTTGGGTCTAGTGAACTCATGACACCCATGCCTTCAGGTAAAAGAGCCTGTGGATGACTCAAGCTCCCTTGCTCAAGACACCCCAGTCAAGGGAAGGCTAGTGGATCAGAAGCTTGGCTTCTGCATCTTCCCGGTGCTCCTCCCCCCACCTTAGGTAGAACAAATGTTCATATGGCTCACTTGTCACATACCTGCAGTTACTGCAACGATGCTGCATGCATTCTGATGCCTCCTGGCCTTTCCACCACTGCAATGTTCCTGCACTGCTGGGTCCTCAGAGGAAATTATGCCCAAGGCCTTGAACCTAAACTTGATCTACCAATGCAAACTTGTGTCCACCTGCTTATATAAGTGCCTTTGATGGACAGGCTTTCCAACTCCTGGCATTGCCAGAATTTATCATTTTCCTGAGTCATTGAAATTCCAGCTTTCATCTCACATGTGGCCAAACATTTAAACATTTATGGGTATCATATATGTTATATATGTAACATATGCATACTCATACATACATCATGGAATGTCCTTCAGGTGAAAAAAAATGAAAGTATGTCATTTGCAGGATGGAAAACAGAAAAGACTAGAAAAAATCATCATGGTGAATAGAATAAGTCAGACCCAGAAATGCAAATATTTCTTACTTCCTCATCTATATGAAAGTTCGCTTTTTGTTGAGTGAGGGCAGTGTCTAAAAGTGAGAGGATGAAAAGTGAGAGAAGATGGAGAGGGCCAAAGGATGATAAGTGTTAAGTGTTTTCTTTCATTTGCAGAATCCACTTCTGTGTACAGACATATATGTGGACACCACAGGGGGACTGTGGGACTAGTAAGGTGACCATCAGGAGAGAGGAGCTAGGAAGGAGGATAATGGAGAGATGAATGTGAGCGATGTACAATGGCATGTAGGTGTGAATACATAATGAGGCACATGTAGGTGTGAATACATAATGAGGCACATGTAGGTGTGAACACATAATGAGGCACATTTTTTTATATGTTGGCTAAAAATCATTTCAACCCAAACAAACGTGGCTATCCCAGCTCCTCCAGATCTGTGTGTACAACAGCAGGAGGCCTGTCTCAGGGCTCAGAAGGGTCACCTGGTCACCTTGGAAAACATCTCCTAACAATTTGCAATATACTGAAGAGAAATCAAGACAGGCTTGAAGGAGAGCCACACATATACTCATCCACATTCTCTCTCACACAAATAAATACATTTAATTAAAAAACCTTAAGAGTTTTTGGTTTTTAGTTCTAGAGGCTAAGCAAACATGGGGCTAGCAAATGCTAACATGCTTTTGTCCACTGATTAAAGCTACACCTTGAGCCTAGGTTGACATAGCAAAGTCAGCCAGTATTAGAAGAATAAACATTGTGCTGCCTCCTTAGTCTTCTTTGTTGCAGTAGGAGATACCAGAGACTGAGTGTCTTAATAGAAATTCATTTCCCACAGTTCCTGTGGTTAGGGAGTCCAGGACCAAGATTAAGCAGAGCAGGGCTCATTCAGAGGCCTCTTTCCTTAGCTGCCAGTCATCCTGTGCCCTCGTGGTCACCTGTACATAAGGACAGGGAAGCAAGTGCTCTGGCATGTCACCTCATAAGGACACTAGTGTCCATGTGATGTTCCACCCTTAGGACTTGGTTTAACTTCACTCACTTCCTTAGTGGCATCATGTCCACATTAGGGCTTCAAAATAGGAACGAGGTGGGTGAAGATGACTCATTCAGCTTATAGCACTGGCCCATGACATTATTGATAAGATGATGACTAATCTTCAATGTTAGCCTGGTTGCACTTAGAAGTTTCTAGGGCACACATCTCTGCTTTTTTTCAGTGAGAAAGTTTCCAAGAAGGTTTAGCTAGGAGGCATGACCCACCCTGGTATGGGGTCTTTATCCCATGGTCTGGTGTCCTGGGATGAATAAACAGGGAAGTGCACCAGGAAACTAGCATTTGCTTCTCTCTGACTGCTCAATTTGCACACAGTATGACCTGTCACCTCATACTGCATCCCTTATAACTAGAGGCCCTCTTATCAGCAGTCCGTCCTTGCCAAGATGGACTCTGCCCTCAGGATGATGTTACAGCAACCAGAAATATAACCAAAGTGTTCTTCAGAGGGCAACAAGCAGAACTAAGCTGTAAATGTGTAATAGACATTGATTGGCTTTGGTGGGGCTGGACTGATTCATAGGTATCCAACTTGGGCCACAGTAAGCAGGTGTCTGAGTTACACCCTGAGCAAACACTTTTATCTTTTGTTTATTTAAAACAAGATTTTGGCTGTAGCTTCGCTTGACTCTAGAACCTTATATAGTCTCTTGTTTGTCCTCTTAATGCTATATGCATGTACCATCAAACCTTACTGAACTAGATTAAAAATATTTAGATTTCTCTGCTTTTACATCATGTGTATGAAAGTTCTCTTTGTATGCATGTCTGTGTCACGGTGTGCACGTTGCCTGTAGAGGTCAGAAGACAGATCACAGCCCATGGACCTAAATTACAGATAGTTTTGAAGCACCATGTGAGGCTGGGAACTGACCTTGTTTTTTCTGAAAGAACAGTAAGTGTTCTGATAGAGCACTGAACCATCTCTCTACCCCAGTACTCACTGACTTTTAAAGACCCATGTTAGGGCTTGTGTATACTGTGAGTGTCGTGTTTTGCTCTTTATGAAAGCCTGGGATAGTGATTTTATAATTGCCTTATTATTTATTTGGAAAAATAAAAATTAGATTTTATCATCACAAAGCTAAGGCACTTAACACTTGTGTAGTTTGAGGCAAAAGGATCATGAATTCTTCTCATCCTCTCTGACCTACTGAGTTCAAGACTTGTCTGAACTACATAAGACCTACCTCAAAAAAAAAAAAAAAAAAAAAAAAACATGCTATCTCTCTTCATTTATCACAATAAGGTTTATTCTGAGTCATCCTAAAAACAAACTTTGAAGATGATATCTTTTTGGGGGATCACCTCTTTTGTGATCCCAAAGCTTTGGAGCAGGTGATGCTGAGACCTGCTCATTTTCTCCATGTTCAGTCTGAATATTGGTCCACTGAACCATAACAGTAATCACTTTTACTGGGGACTGTGAGCAGCTGTGAGTCTTTGCATTATCCAGTCCCACTGTAAGGGAAGAAAATGTCTTTATGAGACAGGCTGCAATGATAATCCATAAGGACCAGTATTTAGATAGCAGTTAGATTGAAAAGCACATCTCTGTTTTACAACTGAAGTAGTTGCTTTGCCATGGGTCCTGGGACATCTGCAACCATGGCCTTTGTCTTGGCTTTCAGTAAGCACAGGCTCCCTCCATGGGAATGGATATGACCTTAAATCCAACTGGAAAAATGATTGTACCCATTCTAGTCATGCCATTGCCACAGCAGAGGGCACATTATAGGTTCTATGGTAACTGGAAGTACAGTGGGCACCTTTGATTTTCATTTCTATATGTGATTTTATTTTAATGTTGCTCACCTATTCTGAGTGACACCAGGATGGAGACATAAGGGGCCTCACTAAGAAGACCCACAGATGCAATAGGGATAAAATATGCCTTCCTTAGGACAGCAATGGTGGCACACAGCTTTAATCTTTGCACTAGGGTGGCAAAGGTAGGCAGATTTCTGAGTGTGAGGCCAGTCTGGTCTACAGAGTGAATTCCAGGACAGACAGAGCTACACAGAGAAACTCTCTCTCAAAAAACAAACAAAAACCTGCTCCTGTCAATCTATCCCACACCCCCACAGCCATGGCCTCACCCACCCCATGATATCACCCTCCTCACTCCATCACTGAGATTTCAGCCAGTGGGCTACAGTAAGAATTTCCTCATAGACATCACAGTAAGCAGGTGTCTTGGTTAGGGTTCCTGTTGCTGCATGGACACACCATGACCAAAAGGCAAGTTTTGGGGGATGTACTTGGTTTACACTTCCACGGTGTAGTCAGCATTGAAGGAAGCTGGGACAAGAACTCAAACCATGCAGAAATATGGGGGCAGGAGCCGATGCAGAGGCTGGGTTCTCCTACATCAATCACTAGGTAAGAAATGTCCTATGCAGCTCTCCTGGGCAGCAGAGCCTGAAAGCTAGCCACGCCCATGACCAGCTGTG